CATTTACATAAGGCTTATAGTGTTGTTCCATAGGAAGGGTGTGTAGGACATACAATGAATCCAGGCACCCAAGCAAAAGGAACCAGTTCTTTACCATAACAATAAAAGCAGATAAGAGTCTAGAATCAAAGAACACTTTCTGGCAGCTCTCTTTCTGTTATGGATATGTCATTTGCAAACATCGGAATGTGAAGGGCTAGAATAAGCCACAATTGTGACTATCGCAATTCTTTACCATTAAGTGACCGGAGTTTACCCTAAGCTGCCGAATATTCTTTTTGTCAGAATAAAATGGTTCTGGGACAGCCAACATATACAGCCCTACACAATTTCCGCTGATTATTTGCGACACTCGCTTAAGCTTAACGAAGCATTCCACCACAGTCGTACTATGTAATCAACCCGTCCCCCACCGCCGCACTTCGCACCTGCTTCGACAAAAAAGAAGATCGTCGTAGATGATGAGTCCATGTTTGCCATTGTCTCTGAAGTACTCTCCCATTGAGCAACCGGAGTATGGGGCAAGGTACTGCAGCGGGGCGGCATCGGACGCGGTGGCCGAGACGACGATGGTGTACTTCTCATGGCATCTGCCAATAAACACGAGAATCAATTTATCAGGCGATGCTCTCTGGCCATCGTTTAGAATTCATCAGTTTTTTATTCACCCGAGTACACCAGAAATTCAAACGTCCCCAACCAAGTAACATTAGGCCACACACCTGGCCAGTACATCATTATTCAGAAACTTTATGCAGGTACATACCAGCATTGCTCAACCTCTTGACCAGCTGAGCGACGGTACTTCTCTTCTGCCAATGGCGACATAGATACAGTAGGCTTCTTCTTCTCATCTGCGCCAGTATTGAACGACTTCTGGTGTATGATCGCCGTCAATGCAATGGCAGTTTTACTGAAAACAAACCAGGAAGAAATGATCAATTACTGATCTAAATACAGGGGTCGAAATTAACGGTATCCCGATATCCGCAGGATAGTAGATTATTGTGTTGGATACCAGATTTCAATGCTTGGTATCCCGCCGGGATAGTAAAAAAAATCGTCAAAATTGGATAGTGGTTGTTGAGTTATTAACTTTATACGGCAGGGCATCTGAGCGAGTGCGCACGATCTGAGCGGGCTCATGCACCCTTACTATGCCACACTAGCGTTATTCAGCAAGCAAGCATATTGCAAAGCGCAAGCATGGCCGGTGTGATGTGTATACATTGTATCAAGCGAACCGACAATGCCGTCTGCAGTGTATTGTGAGGCGTATGTACTAACAAGAGCCGCAGAGCGTCTGGCTCATCTGAGGTCTGTTGCTACGGTTATAAACGTAACATTTAAGTCGTGCGTAGTGACACCTTTGTTAGGCGCGGATATGCAGATACGCAGTTGCGTACACATCATTTCAGCAACCTTGAAATCGCATGCCTGAAACTCCTGTTTTATGGTGCATTGTGACCCTAACCCTATTAAAAAAAAAAATTAATTGTAAAAATTATTTGTTGTTATGAAATTGTTGTAAAAATTATTTGTTATGAAATTGTTGTAAATAAATCATGTAAATATTTTCCTTAATTGAGAAAGAAATAGTTAATGGATAAAGATAGAAAAATACAGAAAACAGGTAAATAATAAAAAATCTCATGCCGGATTCGATCCAAGGACCTTTGAGCATAATCCTGTGCTGTAGACGTTTGCCAATCGAGGCACATATTGGGTTTTCAGATTATGGATGTGCCATAAATATATGAGAACATTGTGACATCATCGAGGCAGTTCAGGAATCCATGTTTAACCCTCCTCTTGAGGGTCAAAAGGTTATCAGACACTTACTCTCCCCACGTCAGTGGAAAGCACATCTCCATGGTCTTCACAGCTTGGTCCACATGGTCCTTTCAATAAAGCCATAAAAATGCTAGGTCACCGCTGAAACAAAAAAGTTTCCCAATCGCTCCGTCAGACCATGTCCTCAGAAAATGTCTAAAATCTGCCCTGTGCCCTATTGACCTTTGACATGTGACCTCCAATTTCGGCACAGTGATGGCTTTTCCTACCATGATGCTATACACCGACTATCACGAGCCTAGGTCGAGCCGTTTAGATTTGTGTCGCAATTCTGCATTTCCTCCCTATACCTGAAGTTAAGGAGGGAATGTTCCCCCTTCTTTTACACCTCTTGACCTTTGACCTTTGACCTTTGACCACCAGCTTCGACATCCCAACTCGTTTTCGAATTACCCTCCCCCCCCCCACGTCTCGACTTTCAAATCCGTACGTCGAGCCGTTTAGATTTGTGCCCAACTGTTAACAGACGCACGGACGCACGCACGGACGATCATGCGATTCTACAAGCTGCATCCGACTTTGTCAGATGAGCTAAAACGCGAGCGATGAGAATTTTGAAGGCAAACTGAAATTACTATCCAAAAAAATGGGATACCAGATTTCAATACCTGGTATCCCGTATGGATACCATAGTAAAAATCCAATTTCGACCCCTGAAATATATGAATGCTGGTCTCACACGAGCTTCTGCAATTGCAAGACAGAAATATAAACTCAGAAACGGGTGTGCGATACACGTATAATCACGCTCGCCACAAAATGAATGCTAACAGGTACAACTTCCAATGTTTATGCGTGCAGCACAGTTGGCTCACCCAGTCTGTCTGTCACCGATGATCAACTCTCTCTGGCCACGGCCGATGGGCACAAGACTGTCGACAGCCTTGATTCCCGTCAACATGGGCTCCTTCACAGATTGGCGCGGAATGATGCCAGGTGCCTTCAGGCCAACCCTTCTGCGATCCTTTCCAATCAGAGGCCCCTACGACGACAACCCGACCCATTTCATGAGACACCATCATTATAATAATAATTATTAACCCTCATCGTTATCCTCACTCAACTAATATCGGTTAATCTAACCCTGACTTAGAGTTGTTTTTTACTCTACAGCTTGTTAAAAACTAAGAGGGTGCGTGAAACAATTCTAGGAACCATATTATTACCACACTAACAAGATACAATATTCTACAAATAGACCAGAGTACATATTGGCTTTTATGCTATAAGTATGCCATGTCAACATGACTATACATTTCCAATGATCAAATTTTGAACATTCATTAGTCAAAATTTCGTTAAATTATAGTTTCATAAAGAATACTTTTACAGTTCAAGGGACTGTAGCAAAAAAGGAGAGAGCACGGCATCAGTCAAATTAACTGATCAGCCCTGCAGATTGCATAGAAAGTTGTTATTCTATTAACCAGTTGCGATGGGGACGATTACCATTCCGTCAATAGGCTGACCCAGAGCATCGACTACACGTCCCAGCAGTTCCTCTCCGACGGGCACGTCCACGATGGCACCGGTTCTCTTGACAATATCTCCCTCCTTGATAAGCTTGTCGTTACCGAACACTACCACACCGACGTTGTCAGGCTCCAAGTTCAACGCCATGCCCTAGATAGACAAAATGTAATCTGTTACATGTGCGATTCGTTTACGCTTGTACCATCCAATATAATTTCATGGACTACTTACATTTCACCTCCTAATAATGCCATTAAACATATTCAACCAAAATATTTTGAAACAGATGAAAATCTAACAACATCAAGGCAAAAATTCCAGAGCCTCTTTAATTTGAGCACATGGACAGATAGTCGCTGGCTTACATTAAGCGCTATGTACTACACACTTTTTTCTCCTGTCAATCAAGTAAAACCAATACTGCAATTTAAACAGTAACATTTAACGTTAAACTCCTTCAGTTGCTACCACAACGCAAAACCCCATGTCACCTTTAGCCCACAGGAAAACTCCACCATCTCCTCAGCCTGGATGTTCATGAGTCCATAGACACGAGCGATACCGTCACCGATGGACAGCACTCGTCCCGTCTCCTCTAGGTTGGCCTGTGTTCCCTTACCCATAATCCTCTCCTCAAGAATCGTTGAAACTTCCGCAGAGCCAACTGCAAAGATTGAGAATAAGTTCATCTTACTATCGCCACATTTAACTGCTATCACATAAATCAATCTTAAAATTAAATTTTACATAGGGATCAGTCAAAGGAAACTCCAAAATATCCGTTTTTACTCAAAATAGGCATTAGCTAGCACAGGTTTGAACGTTTTTTGATTTTCGAAAAACGTACAACCCTTTATTACACCAAGACTGTGAACTGACAACCATTTACAATCAGGTTAATTGTTGTTCCGTAGGAAGGGTGCATAGGACATACATAATTCCAAGCACCAGCAAAAGGAACCGATTCTTTACCATAACAATAACAGCAGAATAGAGTCTAGAATCAAAGAACAATTCCTGCAGCCTCTTTATGTTATGGATATCTAAACATTAAGTACTAGAATCAACCTCTAAACCACAATCTGAATATAAATGAACTGACTATCAATATTATACCAATTCTCTAGTAGTAATTAATTTCCTTACTTTTTGCTGAATATCTTTTTGATGTGGTAAAGTTTCTGTGGGCCACCAATCCAGCTGCCATTGCGCCCTGCCATTTCTGAAAGGTGAGAAACCAGTTTGTAATAAGAGGAAACTCTGTGCACACATATTCAGAGAGTGGGAATATCATAACTTAGAAATACATTGCAAAATTTTAGCCACTTCTAAAGTAAGGAGTGCATGATGGTTTACAGCTCTACTAAATACATGACCTTGATACTAATAGGTCACATATAATAAGCACCTTACTTCTAACTGGCCATAATAATCGGTAAGTATTTTCCAGGGATATTTCAGTGGCCCATGGCCGCTTGGGACCAGACTCGCCAAAAAGCGAATAAAATCACACACAGCGTGAGAAACTAGCGGTCGCCCAGTCGCCAGTGGCGATTAGAAAATCGACTGGGCGACTGCTTGCTCGTGTCAGCTGGTATGGCGGGGCGACTAGATAATCGCCGCACAGGAAATAAAAATTTTTACCAAACTGAGGCCATAATAAAAATGTTGTTTGTTTGCCCTCACCCGACCGACCCGCCAAAAAGGAGCCGTCACAAATTTTTTTATTGACCTTCCCCATTTTTTAAAAAGGTTTTTGTATGTGGCAGGTCTGCGGCAATTGTACGCGGGCTATAGTACTAGAGCTATGCACAGCCTGGCTGCGTAGGTGCCCGCTGGCTGGGCGGCACTGATTGAAGTAGGGGGGAGGAGCGAGTGCATTATTGATTGTTTCACTCTCAGCTGTGTGCCAGGGTGCATACATGTTCATTATTACATATGTAGGGGGTGGCCGGGCACCGCTGGTATGAGAGCGCGACAGCAAAACTTTCCTGGAATTGGAAACCGCTATATTATAATTTAGATATTAAATAACTTAATTATGGATCTAACTCTGACAGATTAACTTTATTTTCGTTTCCAAAGACTAATATGTGCTAATTAGATGATATTTATTACTTCTTAATTCAAGTTCCTTTTATTTTTAATGCTTTTATTTCCAGATTACGTGTATGCGTGCGTGCGTGCGTGCGTGCGTGCGTGCGTGATCTGGAAATAAAATCATGCACAATTTAGCTCTGATGAACACAAGTTGTTAAAAGTATTTTATATGTATATTGTATCACTGTACAATGTACATTATATAAATCTGTAGGCAAACATAAAAGGTATCTCCACACAAGCACACCTGAGCACGTAGACATCATTGCTGAATTTGTAAAAATACCCCCCTCAAAAAAAAGCCGACCACACTTTCATGTCGGGTGAGGGCAAACAAAAAGTTGTTTAATTGTGGCCTGATTATTTTGCCCCACATCCGAGTCATTCACTTTGCTATGACAGAAATCCTGGACCAGTACCTACTGACCAGGACCAGTACTTCCTCAGAGGCACTGGTCCTGCTGGACCAGTGCCTCCAATTATAAGTTTTCCACCCTGACACAGATACATTTCCACTAACTAAGAGTCACTCAAGGGAAACACTAAATTTTATGTCCCTTATTGAAAGGTGTGAACTTCACAGAGGTGGTTTCACCGTGTAATAGCCATTCAATCAAACCCCCCGTGTTTTTTTATAAACAGGTATACAGACGTGTCTGCTAACACGGGTTTGACCCTTTTTGACTTTGCAGATTTATGTTCAACTCCAAATTACAAAACAATGAAGCAGAAACCATTTACAATCAGGTTAACAGTGTTGTTCCGTAGGAAGGGTGAGTAGGACACATGTAAGTCCACGCACCAGCAAAAGGAACCAGTTCTTTACCACAAGAATAAAAGCAGATAAGAGTCTAGAATCAAAGAACACTTTCTGCAGCCTCTTTCTCTTATGGATATGGCATTACAAACATTTGAACGTGAAAAACTAACTGCTATTAATAACAATCGTCACTAATCACAATTCTCTACCATTTCTGAAAGGTGAGAAACCAGTTTGTAATTAGAGGAAACTCTGCACACATATTCAGAGATGGGGAATATCATGACTAATAAATACATATGAAAATTTTATACACTTCTGAACTAAGGGGTTAAAGGGGGGAACAATGGGGACGTAAAAGAACCACTGAGGGCGCAAAAAAAACTGTGGCTGTGACCACCCTCAGTGCCTTTCGGCTAAAAGGCTATAAACTACCTGGCTTTACCCAAGCTAGGTCACACCCCATGGCTAGCTATAGCCCGTTGCCTCAATGCCAAATATGGATACTGCAACGTACTACAACAGAAACAGAAACCGAAGGAGTGCATGATAGTTTACAGCGAGCTACCAAATACATGAACTTGATACTAACAGCAACAGGTAAAGTATAATAAACATCATACATATAATTGGCCATAATGAATCACATATATTGTACATTCTATTGTTTTAACTACTCTAAAACTAGACACAATCAGGAAATTAACAGGTCTCTCTCTCTATTCCTGGCACTCTAAATACTGTAATTATTACTAACATATACTCACAGGCACTTGGACCATTTCAATAATAAAATGATGGTTAATAAATACAACTTGTCAGTACCAGTAATAGTCTTAATGTTTGATTTGACCAAATAACTTCACTTCAATACCGTCCAATATTGTGCATTGTGCCATTGTGCATGCACAAATACACAGTGATATAGAGAAGGTAAGAAAGCGTCCGCACAGAAATTCCAGAACGCTCGAATCTTTTCACAACACTACAGCCGAAATACACGTCCAACCGCCATCACATTGCCATCTGTGTGTAGCTGAATGGTCACTTGTTCGAAATATACGTCTTGCAACTTGGTACCACATACTTTACCAAGAATTATATAAGAAATCCTGCTCGAATTTGCCGCGAATTTCCCATGAAGCCGTTTCGTAAATGGGATAAGTACATGAGCAAGGGCGGCGCATTGCATTCTGGGAGCAATCAAACATTAAGACTATTAGTATTACTGGTACTGGTAGGTCTAGTACTGACAAGTTGTATTTATTAACCATCATTTTATTATTGAAACAGTCCAAGTGCCTGTACATATACTATTACTAAACAAACTGCAAAAGAGGCTTAAGGCCAACTCTTTTTAAGTCTACCCTTAACATTAAATTCTTACTGTAACCCAGCTGCTATTCAAATGACAAATGTTGGTAGAAGAAATCAGCATACACTCGATCATTGACAAAACTATCTTTTATCTATCCCAATCTCTCAACAGAGACAACACTATTTTATAGGTTTGTAATCGTGCATGTTAGTTCAATAAGTGGGAAGCCCCTCTAGGCCTACTAGACCGTGGGCATTATGAATATGCTTCGTGTTTTGACCTTCACATCAATCATGACACATGGTGACGGTGATCATGGTCTTAATTTTTGTATGAACACGATTTCTTCTGAATTTGCATGGCTAAATCAATGTATTGCAGACATCATGTTATATACATATATAAATTTCACAAGGTAGCATGGAACTTCGTGAACCAGAGATTACTTGACGTCAGAATATGACTAGAAGGACTCGGCCTAATGTGTTAACATTATCAGTTACTGAGTTAGTAATTTGGCTTTGGACACTGACTTACGTCACTTAGCACTGGCCCCACCAATGCAAAACTTCGAAAATGATTTTTAGTGAAAGTAATCAATTGGCAACAAAAATAAATGAGTGCATCAATAAATAAAACTATAATTAGTTACCTTTGTAGCATGTCGCGGCAATTGCCGGACTAGCGTTGCAGCAATTCTTGCTGTAAGCATTTCTCTATCTTGTAATCAACCTTACAACACCGGCGATATGGCGGCCTGCGAGGACGTCCTCCGTGTCTGCAGTTTTGTCGCCCCTAAATTTACAAAGCGCCCTCTCTCGATATTAAAGAAAACATTTTAATGTGTTAGGTTCCTATGTAGCATGGATCGACCAGTGGAAATAATAACGTTGTGTTATGCAAGCGTAATATTTTTGTTACATATAGAAAAGTTTTTACTTTAAATAATTTCTTAAAAAAACAAACAATTATTTTTATAACTGTAGCTTGGTAGAAGAAAAAAAACACATGTAACTATCAAGGCTGATGCATTGGTTTTGCCTGGTCTTAGTCAACATGGCAGCGCCCATTGGAGGCATGAAAGTTGTTTTTAGTACAAAAGTTGCTGTTTGTTCCATAACAGCACTTTGTATTAATAATGAGCTAATATTAGCTGGTATTTCATTATAGAATATTATTATCAAGTCGTTGCTAATACAATACGTTAATGCATCTTGCGATATACAACAAACCAACATATATCTTGTAGTTGTAGTTGTATAAATTAAAAACTGTCCCACTAAAGGCCCGCTTACGTCGGCCTTACAACCTAGTCGCCGACAAGATTTGAATGTCGTACGTCAAAAAGCGGCCAGATCGCCGATAAAAACATCGGCGACCAAACTCGACATGAGTTCTCTTACGATCGAAAATACGGTCGCTGACTGCGATCGCAGGAATACGAATACTAGAACATGTTCTATTTCTATGCGGCTGTCGGCGACAAATCGTGAGTGGCAGCCAATCACCGCAGCGTACCGAGTCACATGATTATCAAAAGTCACGTGATTAATAAAATGGCAGCCTACACAGCACGCCGTCAGCAGTTTACAAGAAGGGATTATTGCACAAACCCTTTCTCAAGTATATATTAAGTTTTCCGTATATCACATGAAAAAAATTTCTGCACATGATAATAACAATGTTCAGAAAATTGAGGATAGATTTACGAAGTTACATGATGTTTACTGGTAAGCGCCATTTTGTTGGTCACGTACGTGACTCGTTTTATGTAGACTGGTCCCGGCGTCAAGCTTGCTCTGTTTGTGCTAAAGAACTGCTTGTGCTAGTAGAAATACTGGGGCCGCAAACCCGTCTACGTTTCATGCAGGCACGCAAGTCACTTCAAGTCGACATGAGTGTTGCTACGCTGCTAATCGGCGATAAAGTAGTCGCCGATAGTCAAATCGTAGGCCGACATAAGCGGGCCTTTAGACTAGTCTTACTACTTAGGCCTACTTCCTGGCACTACTTGCAGTCTGTAGACGGCAATGACTGTGCTGTACCGGAACTTGGAATCTTGCACAAACTAGGCATTTCAGCGCATCCGAAGTTTAGGCAACCAATCTGCAGATTGGGCAAAACCTGTTACATAATTAGGTTACCATATCATTACCATTAGTTCTTATCGGCTTTCTTCAATGCGTTTGGCATCTTTGTTAAAATAAGAAATTATAATACAGTAAAACTCGCGTAAGTCGACATCGTCTAAGTCGTCAATTTGCGTAAGTCGACATGGAAGTCAAAGTCCCGATTCGCTGTCATACTCATAGTAAATCCATTGGAATAGCCCCACCTAAGTCGACATTTATAAGTTGTCATTATATACAAGTCGACGCCCTCAGACAGGTCCCATGTAATATAATTAAACAACAGTAATTTCCGATCTGTAAGTCGACATCGGAAGTGCCGATGGCGCAGTGTACGGTCTATAGGGAATGTACGGGCTGGCTGTCGCAGACGGATTGTTTGAATCGCATTGTTTGCTTGGGCGCATTGTGTTTTTTTTCCAGCTCGCAGCTCTCACGCCCCCAGATTCCCCACTGTATACAGTGTATTATATAGTGTATAGAGTGTATGCAGCCCAATGCAGGGTGCGAAATTAAGTTAACACGAGTCCGGATCGAGTCAAATCCTCGCTGATTTACTGTCAGACTCTGATTTGACATATACAGGAGTCCGTGTGACTCCCTGAAAATTAATTCTGCTATAGAGTACTAACTATTTCGTTCCAGAGCACGGCCTCGCGGAATTAGCGTATTTTTTTCAGCAAGTGTTCCAAGAAAATTTGGCAGACGTGTACCGCAAATGTCATGCTACGCAAGGCAGTTTATACAGTGTATACGCGCATTACATACATTGTATAAGTCGACAAAATGACGACTTGCGCGTAAGTCGTCATTTTCGTAAGTCGACACAAATATACTGGTCCAAAAAGTGTGGACTTATGCGAGTTTTACTGTATTAGATAATTTAATAACTATTAGAGAAATCCCTTCCTAGTTTGCACCAGTTATGCTCGCATACGCCACAATCGCCATTAAGTGTAGTTAAATAAGCGACTGTTTTTTATCGAGCGTGCCCAATCTTGAGATTGGTCATCAAAACTGGGAAATCCGCATTTTGGGCAGCACGGTCTTAAGATTGTGCAAATTCCAAGTTTAGTTACAACAACTGCATGCATGGTTACAGGACCATGTTCACTACAGGCACACACACACACACGTGCACGCACACACGCACGCACACACACACACACAGTGAAACACACACTATCACACATGCAGGCATACACACACACTATATAAAACATAAAAACAAAATTACAGACATGGAAATTTTTCCCCGGATCCGCGGATTTCAGAGTTTTTTGCCGACCACCTGGGCCATTTTTGGGAAACGTGCAAATCTGTTGAGATATTTGGGTGGGGGGGGGCAGATGTGGGTGGGTGGAGGGTGGATTGAACCCTTTGTGTATGTCCCGCCAACAAATGTCCAAGCAAAGATTTGCAAGACCAAAAATTTAGAAAATGTGCCATTAAAATATGCAGAATTTATCTCTCCGAGTGGCTTTAAATTCAATGATAGAGTAGTTTGTGAGTATAATTATTTATAAACAATATACTTTGCATTCTGCATGCATGCATTGCTCAACATGGGTCAATTTGAAAAGTTTCTCATTAAAAATTAGGTATTTTGTCCTTTGTAAATTGTGAAGAATTGTACCTCCAGAAGACATCAGATGCGATATCAGAGGCTCTAAATTTCAAAAGGCAAGCTGGGATACCTTCAGCGTCCTGTGTTCAGAGTGTTTTCATATCATCCATCCCCATGCCTGAACATATTTAACGGTGTCTAACGTTTTGCCAGGCTTTGTCGGTCTCACAACCAACTCGAATTTTTTAAATTTGGATAGCTCAAAGTCTAACTATATTATATTGTAGTATATATAGTATATATTAATGCAGATTGCACCGCTCTCTCACTGTAATTGAAATTCGTAAATAATACAACTAAATTATACCTACTATTTATGACCATCGTCACACCCAAATTTATCACTGAAATTGATCCAAAACCAGTAAGAAGCAGCCGTCGATCCTATATCGATTAAGATAGTACCAAAATATTCCAAAATTACTTTTTAATGCTAGGTGAAGGTTCATCTCTGAATAGCTATGGTTTGACCACTGGAACTCCCCTTGACTCTCTCAAGGTGTTAAAAGCTGCCAATATCTATGGCATAAAGCCAGGTACAGTTTTTTATATTGCATACAGTTGTAGCTGGGGTCATTTTATTTGAGGAATATGACAGAGTTTATTAATGGTAATAAAACTGCTAAAACTAAAAATTGGTGTAATAATACACACTTCAGTTTGTACGATTGTATTAATATTGGAATCCTACTCGTTAACTATTTTTTATTGCTATTTTTATAGGTAAAAGATTTCTGTGCGTGTATGGGCAGAAATGTATAGGAATCGTAGAGTCTGCCTGCGCGGATGTAAATTCTAGGTGAGTAGCTATTCTTCTAATTATGTAGTTGGTCAGTCCACAGATATTATGATGCCGCCTTTATAATGCCACCCTTATAATGCCACCCTTATGATATTATATAACGCCTCACCCCATCACCCCCCATCACCCCATCACCCCATCACCCCCATCACTGCCTCACCCCTCACCCCCATCACCGCCTCACCCTCATCACCGCCTCACCCCCCCATCACTATGAGCAAGGATAATGCACATAACATACTCTGTACTAACATAACGTATGTTGTTTTCATATCACATCAGATGGAGGAAAGTTGGAAGTGATTACGAGTTTGAAGACTGGATTTTGGATGTGTGTTGGTTAAATGATCAGGTATGGGTATATTTTATGATCAGATTGCATAAAATGTTAATTAGAATGAATCTGTCATTCATATGTTTTTGAATTATGATACATGATATCTTCACCATAGGGTTAAAATCTAACTGCTTGCAGGAGTGTTGTGGGGAACTTGCGGTGGCACTGGCACATAATGTTGTCCTTCACTGGGATTGCTTATCAGAAACCATTCTCACACGAGTTTACTGTGAGGAGAACTGCATCCTGTATCCTTTTTATATGCAAAAACAGTTTTTGGACTATCCTGCATTAGTGACACTGTGATGAATATTTGCTTCTGCACTCTGGTGAAATTTGCCCAGCGTTACAAACTTAACTAACACGCCAGGTACTCTGCAAAATTGGTCGGGCACTGCTGGACAGACTTGGTTGTTGCGGCAGGGACTGTTTATAATGAAGTTCTGCTGTGGAATACTCGAGTCACAGGTGGTGAGCGTAAGAACTCTGTGATGCATAGACTTACTGGTCACAAGGTGAGTGTGCAAGTCACTTTGAGGAACAATTTTGCTGGTATATTGTAAGACCTGTAAACATAGCTGTATCGAAAACGTGCGTCTTCTTCTATAGTTTAATTCTCTATATGATATGACCCAGTAATCCCCAAACTCTATGAACAGCAGCACTCCACTCACAGTTGCATTATCACATTGCATTGCTTTATAGCAAGTACTGTTGGTCACTCTAATTTTGGGTTTTAGTTTTTGCCTTTGTCCATATCTGACATCTGACAAAAATTACAGGTCATTCTAGGGTTTAATTTAGAGCAAATTTTCATAATTGAACAGGATGGAGTATTTGCAACATCAAGATTTGCATTGAAGAAACAGTCGAGTTTAACAGGAAAATAGCCAGAACGCTGGCCTAATAGGAAAATGTATAACAAATCTAACATCTGTTTCCTGTGCCCCTCCCCCTTATAAACAAAGATCATAGAGCATAATTGACGCTTTTGACACAGGTCTGTGATCATCAAGTCGTGATGTTCAACAATGCCACATTTTGCAGTAATAAATGACATAGGGAGCAGCCAAACTTGTTTTCCGATGACAAAAATGTAATCCTGCGACGTTTCAGGGCGTCATCTTCGACATTGACGTGAGTGTCGCGACGTCGCGACTGTGCTCTGTGTCGGACGACCGCAGCATCCGCGTCTACACGTACACCGGCGCCCTCTCGCGCTTACACGACGCTCGCTTCCACCTCCTCGGCGTCTTCTACGGGCACCGGGCGCGCGTGTGGCGCGCGAGACTGCTGCGGCACCACCTGGTGAGCGTCGGCGAGGACGCGGCGTGCGTCGTCTGGGACTACGGCGGCAGGGCGGTGCAGCGCTACGAGGGTCACCGTGGCCGCTGCGTGTGGAGCCTCGCGATCAACGCCGCGGAGACGGTCATCGTGACGGGCGGCGGCGACGCGTGCATCCGTCGCTGGATCGTCGACGACGCCGCCCCGAGCCGAGTAAAATTTCTCTCGCTGCCCCCGCAGACAGAGCACTCAGATTCCACAGCGGGGCTCGAAACTGCGGATTCCGACGGGGTCACGAACGTGAGGTGTGACATTGCCAATCACACGTGGCTAAATGACAAGTTCTTCCTCAGAGATGCGAGGAAGGAGGCGGCGGCAGAGGAGGATACAGAGGCAGGGAGGGAGGCAACAGCAGTGACAGGGAGGACGACAGCGGCAGAGAAGGATACAGAGGCAGGGAGGGAGCCAACAGCGGAGGCAGGGAGGACACCTGGGACAGAGAAGGATACAGAGGCAGGGAGGGAGGCAACAGCGGAGACAGGGAGGACAGCAGTGGCAGAGGAGGATACAGAGGCAGGGAGGACAGTGGCTGCGCAGTCCGGGAAGGAGGCAGCGCCGGAATCGAGGCGTAAGTCCCGTCGCGTCGATTTCCCACGCAACGTGGCGTTGTGCGACGCGCGAGGCGTTCTCGTGATGATGGACAGCGGAGTGCTGTACTCGCACGACACCGCGAGCGCGACGTGGCGGGTCCTGCTGCGCGGCCGCAACAACTTTGGCGGCTACAGCGTCATGGCGTCACGGCACCACCTGGTGCTGCTCGGCGACATCGCCGGAAACATCTGCCTACAGAGTGCGATCGACGCCGACGTAGACGTGGCGGACGCGAGCGCTCACGCGGGCAAGGTCCTCGGTTTGACCTGGGCGGGCGACGACACCTTCCTCTCCACGGGACCCGAGGGTGATTTGGCATTGTGGCGGGTGTGCGACGCTGGCACGTCTTTGTCCATGCGGACGCTCCGTCGTTACGTTCTTCCGCGCTGCAGCCAGCGGTGGGTGACCGCGGGGGTTGTGCAGGGCCGCCTGCTCGTGTGTGGGGACCGGGGCGGCACGGTGCACGCTTATAGAGTGAGTGAGCCAAGCGGTGTCAGCACAGTGGCCGAGGATACGTCTGAGTGTACAGACTGGAGGCAACCTGTGCAGAGTTTTGCAAGGGTGCATGGTAAGGCTGGAGTGACGGATGTACTGAGGTCTGGCAGCGACCTCGTCTTGACTGCTGGCAGGGATGGGCAGTACCGTCAATGGAAGATAGATGGCAGCAGTAGACTAAAACTGATGTATAGCAACAGGGTAAAAGGTTATGATTGTTTTACTTTTTGATACGCAGTAACACAGATTGTTAAATATTAAATAAAACCCCTAAACATGTGTGCTTTATAGAAAAATCCAGTAGTTTTTCATCTCAATTAATGTTTAAAAACTATTTCAAATTGTAATATTAAATAAAAATGTGTTGCAACAGGGCTGCAAGGGTCTGGACTGGATAGAAAAAATCATCTTAGCAAAGGATGACCTCTGGATTTGTGGATTCCATTCAGTAAGTTTAGTATTTGTTATCCACACCAATACACAGTGCATTCATGGCGTGCGTGTAAGACTATCTTGGTCTCTATCGATTGCATTTTTATTATTGCATTTAATTTGCATTTTTTATAAACGGTTTTCAGTCGAATCTAGTTGTCTGGAGCACCACACTGGCTTGTCGTCTGCTGCAAGTGCCATGCGGTGGCGGCCATCGTGCATGGGATATCCGTTTCCATGGTAACGTCGCTACTTTTGCTTACATCAAATCAGGGTGTGTCTGCTTTGGGGAGTCACAGCTGCGAACCGACTTTGTCGTGAAGGTAAATACGAGAGACATGCGATTCTTTGTACTTCAATATTTGTACTTCTATACTCCAAATACTATATGTGATATTTACTTGCACAACATTAGTTTCTATTTTGATTGTGTAGCTCTTGGATTAGGTTCGTTAGGTTTCATGATATGAAGGGTAATTATATTTTATGATAAATCCAAGTAATTAACCTGTTAGCAACAGCTTCGACATCCCGGCTCGCTGATTTTTTTAAAGTTGCTTTGGCTTAATTGTCACCACCAGTACTGTTTACATGATTGTGTGGCTCGCGATAGATGGTATATGCCTACCGTCATCCATCACGCCTTCCTGGTGCCCTTTTCAGCCATCGCTGCATGGTAGAGAGATCAACAGCCTGTGTCATCTGTACACGTTATCCCATCGGATGAACGATGACAAGATGGCTGCAGGAAGCTCACAATCTGTGTCAATCATCGCGACGGCCAGTGAAGACACAACCATTAACATTGCCGCAGTTTGCAGTAAGCAAGGTCTTGTATAGTCTATCCTGTGTTAGCTGTCATTTAGATGGAGATTGTGTGTGATTCAGAAGTTGCTTCTTCTTGTCCTTCAGATTTTGGTATTTATATATCCATAACAGAAAGAGGCTGCAGGAATTGTTCTTTTTTTTCTAGACTCTATTCTGATGTTGTTGTTATGGTACAGAATTGGTTCCTTTTGCTGGTGCTTGGAATTATGTATGTTCTATACGCACCCTTCCTATGGAACAACAGTGTTAACCTAGTTGTAAATGATTTATTAATTTGCACCTCACAGCGTTGTAAGCAAAAGTTGAACGTAATATTGTATGTTTTTCAGGCGATGCCACTAGTGGCACCAGAGTGCAGGTGCTCTACAGGCTGCAGAATCACATATCGAACGTGCGCACACTGGCAGTGTCGCGTCCTTGCTGCCCCCTGGTGGCAAGCGAAGGCGGACGCGTGATGTTCTCCGGGGGAGGACGAGCGCAGATGCTTGCTTGGAGGGTGACCGCAAACGCCGGAAATGCGGCGAGTGCTGCGCCCTCTGGTGACGAGTCGGCTATGGTCGGTCTCGGCGAGGTGACGGACACTGCTGCCCTCTGTCAGTACATGCTGCTTGGTGACATCAGTCTTAGTGAGAAACGCAAGGCAAACTACAAGCCGTGGAAGGAGGCGACGCCGAGCGTTAACCCAGAAACCCGGTTCATGTCGTTGTCGGCGGGACAACTGTGCCGGAATGGGACAAACAATCACGACCATGACGTCATAGTGCGGCACTTCATCGGTGCAGCTTGCTCGGATGGGTTAGTGAGGTAATGATGGGAGAGGTTAGGATGCCAAGAGGGCAAAGTTTATATTCTTTAAAGTGCTTTCTAAATTGAAGCAACAATGATGACTCCTTTTATAATTTGTTTCTTAGTTTGAGTATCCAAATACTGAAATATTTTCATATCATACAGTACAATATGAATTGTGATTTAATGAGATAATATTAGTAACATAATTATACTATTTTAGTACCTCCATTCAACCAAGTTGGGTTTGTTTGATACAAAGACCTAGATCATTTACAATGTCATCATGGTAATCTTTTCCTCCATCTGCTACAGGCTATTTGGGTTTAATGAAGAAGACAGGGGCTTTCAGTTGCTGGGATACAGTAATTTCTATGGGTGCTGCGTGCTCAGAGTAACACACCTCAGAGTTTTCGAGCGACTGCTACTGGTGACATCTGCCACTGATGGCTGCATTGCGTTCTGGGACGTCGAAAAGGTAAGTCTGCTAAGTTGCAAAAATGAGCTTGGAATGTTACATTTGTTTACTTACTATACTTACTATTGGTATATTGTAAAGTAGATAGTAATCTATGCCAAATTTGTAATGTTCATGTTTTGCTATCTTACGCATTTTAGTAGCAACTGTTCACTTGGTTTAATGTTAATTTGAATCTTTGTATAACCATATATGCATAGTTTTTGCCCGGCCCGGCTTTATCACATAGCCGGGGAAAGTGTAATCTTTTCTCAAATTATCTTTAGGTTGTAGTCAATTTCATGGAAGAGAGATGTGAGAGAGATGATGAAGGCACCGATTCTACAAAAATGTTTCCTAAACAGATGGAAGCACCGATGTTTTGCATTACATCAGCACATCAGTCGGGAGTTAACTCTATTTGTTTGTCATCTCTACCTGGTAAAAACCTTTGATATTATATACGATACAGAGTAATGCCATAGCCTATTTGTATCTATCAAGAAATAATAATGGAAAAATGCAAAATACGATTGCACTTTTGCAGTATTTATGTGGGTATAATTATATGACTAGATGGCTGTCTTCACTGCAAGAGCGAACACTGTATTTGGCAATACATTTACTAATGTAGTAGCTCCAAGAAACGGTCTTGCTAGGGTTAGAAAACAATCGGTCGCAAAGCCTGGTCGGGCTACTACTATAGCAGTCCTAGAAGTAGTTTATATATTCTGTAGCAAACTCTGCGTGCGAACGCGGATCGGGGCCACTATGGTTTCTAGGTATGAATGTAACACTTAGCTCTCTTTCTTCTCTCCCTCTCCCACTCTCTCTCTCTCTTTCTCTGTCTCTCTCTCTTTCTCTCTCCCTCCCTCTCCCTCTCTTCCCGCTCTTTCGCCTCAGCATATGTAGCAGCACTACAGCGCTACAGCCCGCGTACAGCCGCGCTGTATATTATATTATATGGAGCAATATTGATATTTGCATTTTAAGTAAGGTAAATTTTTATACGGCATGTAGGTGTATGAGAGACAGGGAGAGCGAGCGGGGGAGGTCGGAGAGCAACGCAGTTATGGTTCCTAGTAGCAGCCGAACAGCAACGTCGCTTTTCTATCCGTAATCAGTAACCCAGGGTTCTTGTTAATAGCCGGTAACCGGTTATTTTTACCGCCTATCGTGCAATTTGTTACCGGCTATCAATTTGAGAGAAACTCCCACTATATTAAAAGGCGGTAAAATATTTAATCCATATTTGAAAAAACGAAGTTTATTTTAAATACTTCCAACCCAAGACTAACTCTGTGCACGGGCGGGTTTTTCTTTTTATAATAGATACTTAATAGCATATATTTTCCTATCTAAACTACCAAATTCTAGAACCCATACCATACCCATCAAAATAGGCTATTTGTGGGTCAAATCAGAAATTTTTTTCCGGGGGTGTATGCTTCCCGGACCCCCCTAGCAGGGCTTCGCGCCCTCGCCGCTCGCCCTACTGTCCGTGCCGGAAAAACAGTTACCTGCTATTCATTGTCAAATTACCTGCTTTGTCAAAAGTTAACAAGAACCCTGAGTAACCTCTAATTTGCCCCGTACGTGACCAGATAAACACGTCATAATACGCCCGTGCACAGGCTCACTGCCCCCTCTGCTAGTAGCAAGGTGTGGTAATGGATCGATAGGTGGCAGCACTGTCCAGTCACACTGTCCAGGCTGAAATATGCAACAATGCACAGGCATTGTTTCAGTTATCCTTTATTACAACGCACAATACACTTCCTTTAATTTTAATGCTGCGCCTCCTGCAAAATTACAGACCGGTAGGTCATATAGTTAAGGAGGAGATGCATGGCAAAGGCAGTCATGGAAAAATAAAAAGAATAATAATAAGAAGAAGAAGAATTCGTGGAATAACAATGTATTTGGCGATTACAAAAATTTTGAACATTGCCAAATACAATTATTAAATGACTTTCATAACATATCAATTCTTTGCGATTTATGCAGACGATAAGCTGCTAGTTGCATCCGGTGGTGACGACAATTCCCTGAGGCTCACAGTATTACAGACTGCTCGGCGCGATGCCGGTGTAACCATGGAGATAATATGTACACACGTGGAGGCGTCTGCTCACGCAGCTCAAATTACAGGTGAGAGATCTATAAAACTTTGAAAGGTACGCTCCAGACTTGTTTAACATAACATTATACAGAGAATAACATTGATTTTACGTTTCGTGTCCCAAGGAACATATAGAACATTGAAAAGCATATAGATAGAGTCACTCCTTTCTAGCTCAGCTGACGAAGTCAGATGCAGCTTGTAGAATCGCATGAATATCCGTCCGTGTGTCAAACAATTCATGCCACAAGTGCCAAACTGCTGTCGACGTAGGGGGGGGGATTCGCAAAAAGGACTGCGGGATGGTCGAATTATGGGGGTCAAGGTCAAAGGTCAAGATGTGTCAATGAGGGGGAATATTTCAGGCCCCTTGACTTACGGTATAGGAAGGAAATACGGAAAGGCGGCACAAATCTTACAAGTTACCGGACAATCACGCGGTTAAAGGGCAGTGGGGGAAAGGTCCAGATATTATCAGACATTTTCTGAGGGACATGGTCTAAAGCGGAGCCAAGTGCAAAACTTTTTTGTTTCAGCGCTGACCTATCGTTTTTTATCACTTTATTGAAAGGACTGTAAAATCGACTTTCCGCTGACGTGCGAAGAGTAAGTGTCTGATAACCTTTTGACCCTCAAGAGGAGGGTTAAATATGGATTTGTTGACTGTTAACAAAGGACTGAACTGCTTTTGCTATTAGAGCTCCCCCTCACACCCTACACCCACCCTCTCCCCACCACCACCACGACGCTCACCACCATGATAACGTTAATATAGCGAAGTCACTAAGTATAGTAACGACAGTCCTATCAACACGGTGGCGGGAGGGCGCACTTGATTCGGTTGCCAGTGAGTTTATCAGAAGAATACCCGGCTACAGTACACGTCAGTTTAGCGCTGTCGCTCTGCAGCACTTGTTTGCATTCTGACTGGTTACCGAATATGGACCAGTTCAATACTACTACATAATTGTACTGCTGTCAGGATATATTGCGTTATACTAATAACGTGTGGAAGTTCAAGTGTACGGTGGATTGCTGCAGTTGTCCAGTGGTTAGTGTGACCACTGTTCACTGTGTAGGAAACTCCAGCCAGGATGATGAATTTTCTCAAGGTGTAAAATCCTGGATCTCAACATTGGGGGACTGTGAATTTCTCGTGGCTTGTATGATAAAATAAAATATTCTGCAGAAGGCAATGGCAAACCACATAAATTCCATCTAAACACATCTTGTCACATAAATTCACAAAAATCTTGCCACATAAATTCAGTGGAAAATATCGCTGATAGATTGGCACAAGTTCAGCAATCAACACACTGAAAATAAGGGGAAAAACGTTTGAAAACTTTTTTTTTCAGGTATAAAAGTCCTTCCAGGTGATGTGATTGTCACAGTGTCTATTGACCAACGACTCACTGTGTGGAAATTCAAGATTTTGGACAATGTGGCCCAGGTGAGTGCAATCAGCTAGGGTTCTGAATATTCTAAGAATGGTCTTATAGATTTGTTTTTGTATTAGTGCAGTTGTTTCTGCATGTAGGCCTACTGCCTTTATAAAAAAAATGTCAGTAAATATTACCTGTTATTATTACATTGCAGCATTTACTGTGGTAAATAAAACAAAATCTATGCTGAAGTAAAAATTCTAAAATGAAAATACACACTGGCATAAAAACTATCATTTCAGTTAAAGTGGACCTCATCTACATTCATCAACATTGCTGATATAGCAGAGATGGAGGCATGGCAAACGCTGTAAGTTTGGTGCAGTATCTAATTGAAAATGCATGTTATTTATTTATGATTGCTAGACATAAATATTATTCTCTGATTCAATGTATTTACTAATGTTGTTGTAATCGCTTGCAGTAACATTGGCATCACAACTGACATTTAGGAAACTTTTCAAATAGCAAATCTATAATATAATATGAATGGTAAATATGTTTCTGTTGCATCTTATTTATTATATGCATTATGTGTTTTTTTGCAGAGATGGAGACTGGCTCTTAGGACTGTGTGGAGTAGGGCTGCAGGTTCTGCAAACTCACAACTTGTGACCGAGTTTATGTATTAGAAGACTAATTTCAAAACTCCAATAAATATGTATATATATGTAATTCTAATCTTTTGATTTGCACCTCTGTTTGTTAGACTAGGAATTTTGTTTTATTGCACAGTATCATTACCTTACTCGCAATAGCCGCTGGACAAAAATAAGTAAGGTTATTAGTGGAATCTACTGATTGAATGTGACCATTATCTACATCTGTATCATCGGTCTGTATCATGATCTATATTTATTAATTTATTGTACCATTGGTACATTGTTACATTGGTAAAAGATATAGGCCGTGGCAATACGCGACCGGTTCCGGACGAGGAGTCGCTGGGCTACCCGTCCGGACATCCATCTCTCACAGTTATCTTGCGACACGCGCACGCATAATTGCGCAATGGGACGCTCTGCTGATTGCCGAGTGTGTGTGTGTGTGTGTGTGTGTGTGTGTGTGTGTGT